CCCGGCTGTGATAGCTTGCAGCTTCACAGCCAGGAGCCCACTGAGCATGTGCAAGCCATGCTGTGCATTGTGAAGGGTCCCAGAGTCTTCTGAGATCTGTCAGGTGTTCCAGAAGACTGCGGGGAGGGAGAGGTGGAGGAGAACTTCAGCTTCCGTTCACATAGGACATTGGAGCAGAAGTGAGAGCAGGTACCTGTCAAAATCAACCCCTACCCAAAAGTGCCAATGCTGAAAGAGGAGCAAGGGAGAAGGTCTTAAAGCAGAACTTCCCCTTTTGGGTGGAGCTCCACTTTAAGCTAAAGAGAAGGGAACTATTGCCATGAAAAAGGACTAGATTCAAAGCAAAGGCTTACTGATCATGGGAACCCTTGTCACTTTCTTAGGAAGAGGAAACATGGTTTTGAGCAGAAAGGTTTTCCGTTTCTTAAAGAGATACTAAAAGGTTAATTTTTTTTTTTTTTTTAAATAACAAACATGTCTATACTTACCTGCTGTGTGCACTGGTTTTGCACAGAGCAGCCTGGATTCTCAGGTCCCCCGCAGGCTCTCCTGGCTCCTCCTTTCTGTCGGGTGCCCCCACAGCAAGCAGCTTGCTATGGGGGCACCTGCTGCTCCGTGTGTCTATTCACACACGGAGTCGCGGCTTGGCTTCACCCCCTCTCTTTTACTGGGTGACTGGCTGTGATTGACAACAGTGGGAGCCAATGGCTGTCTCAGCCACGAGGAGACAAAGACCTGAGACAGCAGAGGCTGTCGTGCACATTGCTGGATCTCAGTGGGGCTCAGGTAAGTATTAGGGTGGGGATGGGGGCACTGCTGTACACAGAAAGTTTTTTTTACCTTCATGCTTTAAATGTATGAAAGTAAAAAACCTTGAGCCTTTACAACTGCTTTAAATTGGAACTAAACCCTCTTAGCCTCTGTTTGAGCTACAGTTGCCATGGTCCTGCACATGTTATCAGCTATGACACCAGCCATTTGATGGCTTGACAGTTTGGTCAAGTACACAAATGCAGGGAATGTAATGGTTTTTTAAACTGTTATATCGATGGGTTCAGTTCCTCTTTAAGGCTCCATGCACACTAGCATTTTTCCAGCTCAAAAAAACACTGGAAAAAATGCAGAGTAAAAAATGCTGGTAATAGCTTTTTTTTTTTTTTTTTCTTAGTAGAGTTTAGGAGCATTGGCTTTTTATTAGCATTTTTACAGTACATGTACAAAGAAAAAAGCTAGAAAAAAAAAGCTGTTAGAAAGATTTTAGTAGCATTTAGGAGCATTAAGTGTTTTTTTCTGCTGGAAAAGTGCTCTAAAAAAAAAAAAAAAAAAACTTTACAATAAGTTTTTTTTCTGATCCTAGATGCTGAAGCTCAAAAAAATGTTAATAACCTAAAGTAGTGTGCACATCGGATAACACGATTTCACTTCTAGAAAAATGCTGTTTAGCTTCTAGCAGCAGAAAATGCTAATAGCTTCTCGGAGCTTAAAAAAAAAGCTAATATGCATGGAGACCAAGTCAATAGGCATTACTGAACATTCTCTGGAAGCATGGTGGGCACGTAAAACCTGTCTATTCCAAAAATCAGACCTTTTCTCTGACATATTAAACATTTGTAAGTCTGTCAAATAAATTTGCAAGTATAAATCTGTTAACAAAAAAAAATATACCATGTATGCACTTCTGGGAATATTCATATCACAGAAACGGCAGTTTTCAGTCTGCAGTGTAGGGTTTATAAATTCTATCCTATTCCCCATTCAACAATAATCCTGGCGATATACATTAGTTACTGTTGTCATCAGCACGCTACGCATGACAAGGGAAACACAAGTACGGATTCTACGACATATGAATGAGTTCCCACTACTCTTGTATTTGTCTGCAATCACACAGAAGGGACGTCACCTGCAGACCAAGCATTCAAGACATTACAGATTGTTTGCTCTCCTGTACACTGCCATTATCTACCATTAAAAACCTATTCCTGAAAATGCTAGCAGCCTGACTGTCTCTGCCTTCAGAGCTTCCCGAGTTACTGACCTGGAACAAGTATTCAGCATATTTAGTCAGAATTCCTGAACCACTTACTCCTGGTAACAAAAGACACTAGGCCAGTATGACAGTCAAGCAACACGCAGGAGGGGTCATCAATGTCAGCCTCTCTCTCAGCCTTTAAACCAGTCCATTTGTTGCTGTGGAGCCTTCGTGGATCCTAGACCCAGGTTCTTGACTCAATTTGAAATTCAAAGCTTCAGTCATAACACAGACCTAGGCTTCAAGGTGACTCCAAGGACACAGAGGTTGATCTAAAGTGTAGGCACTGCAAGATGTCTGCACTTTAACCACTTCCAGTCCAGACACTTTCACCCGCTTCCAGTCCAGGACAATTTTCAGCTTTCAGTGCTATCACAGTTTGAATGACAATTGCGCAGTCATGCAACACTGTACCCATATGAATTTTTTAGCCTTTTTTTGACACAGATAAAGCTTTATTTTGGTGATATTTATTCACCACTGGGATTTTTATTTTTTTTTGCTATGTAAATGAAAATGTCCAAAACATTTTTTTAAAAAAGTGTTTTTCTTATAAAATTTTGCAAATACTATTTCATCATAAATCTTGGCCAAAATGTATTCCGTTATCTTTTTAGTAAAAAAAAAAAAAAAAATAACCCAAATTAGTTTATAACCAAAAATTATCATTTTTAAACATTTTTTTTTACATTTTTATATGATTATATGTTTTTTGTTTTCATTTTACATACTGTCACCCTAGCAGTACAGTGTCACCATGGTGACACTGTGCTACTTGTGGGGGGTGATGAAGATTTTTTTTACACTGATTGCTTTTACACCCACAAAGGATGTAAAAGCAATTATTTCTCCTTCTCTCTGGCTGCATTCTTGCAGCCATTGGGAACTACTGTGTGAGCTGTGATTGTTCACAGCTTGTCACATAGTACAAGGCTGTTGTGAATAGCCTTGTACCATGTGACCTCTGTGATCATTCACAGATTTCACACGTAGTAAGCAATGATGTCAGAAATGACATCTTGCTTACTACTCTGCATGTGATCACTGATTGGCCAATCAGTGATCACATGATTGGGACCTCGTAGAGAGGTCCCATACGACGATCGGTGTTCCCATGTGTCCAGAGGACACAACGGGCACCTAATCGCGGTGCTGCGCACTCCCAGGGAGTGCACACAAGCAGGGGGCGGGGAGGCCGTTTATAAACAGCCACCCAGCCCTGCACTGCCACCGTCCGACCGTTTATATACAATGGCCGGACGGTGGTTAATTCTCCATGCATACTGGCTTAAAAAAAAAAAAAAAAAAAGAAATCGCTGCTTCCAGAAGAGTTTAGCGTTTTGCCTGTAGAAGCAACTAATGTTATCCTATGTGTCCATGCACATTAGGTAGTCTGGAGGCGTTTTTAGACTCAGCATTTAGAGGCAGAAAAGAAAACCCTTCTGTTTGGAGTTTTTGAGCTGTTTTCTGGCAGGAAAAAAAAACCAGTAAACACTCCTAAACGCTAGTATAAAAAACGCTCAAAATGAGTGTTTTTCTTCTGGCAAGAGCACTGGTGTTTTTTTATCCAGTATGCATGGACCCTTAACAGAGCTGTTCACTTGTGGAAAAGGTTTAAGCAAGGGCAAACTACTTAAGCGACTCTGTAAAAAAAAAAATTCAAGTTGAAAAACCAGCTGTACCTGTAAAGAAGAAAGAAAATTCTCACCTCTACCTCTACTACTGTCCACACCATTGAAGAGGAATCATTGCTCATATACCTTCAAAACAATGATAATTTAAGGAGTCAGTCGCCTGTGTTTCTTCCTGCGCTCTTTGGTTCCTTCTGGTACCATCACTAATGGGGACCTACGTTTTCTTAGACCTAAAGAAACTATTCATACTTTGTATCATTTCCAGTAGTGGATAAAAACGTAGCACACACTCAGGCTGCATTCGCACTTGAGCGTTTTGTAGCTTGAACCTCGAAGCTCCATAAAAGCTCAAATTGAAAAAAATCAATTATTCTCTATGGTGCCTGTTCACATCTGATCGCACGAACAGGCACCATAGAGAAAAATTGATTTTTTAAGTTTGAGCGTTTTCGGAGCTTCAAGCTACAAAACGCTCAAGTGTGAATGCAGCCTAATTGGTCAGCAATGCCTTGACAAAGAAAAGCCACAGCTGCACCTTTGGCAATTCAATTTAGACTAGAAAACCATGAGAATGATCTGACAAGACACCAAATCTTTCCCAATTTTCTCTCCAAAGAATGTCACATCAGTACAGGATCCAAATGCTACATATATAGGTACTGATGAAACATTATGTTATGGTATTGGGAGAAAAAATAAATCTAAAATGTCTTGGATGGCATACACCAGGACAGTCTAGGATGCATAGGCATCTAAAAAAAAAAAAAAAAAAATATATATATATATATATATATATATATATATATATAAATATATATATATATCACGTACCAGATCAAATGCTGAGGTCTAGTTTTAAAAAAAAGTACATTTACTTAACATATCCACATGAAAATGAGTAATAAAATTACATCCACACACTTCAAAGGCAAGAGGAAGTTACATGTATCCTGAAGCAACACAGGGCACTGTTCGCACATCAAAACTATTAAATGTACTTCAATCTGGGATTACAAATGTCTAGTAATTGCTTTTTTCCTGATCACTTGAGTGCGAACATTTTCTATACATGTCCATGTCATTTATTGTGCTCATTCCAACAACCAAGTCTGACAATGTTTGACGACAGGGAAGGCAATGCTAATAAACGATCTTAGTAAAACAATGAGTAATACTGCAAACTGTTTTCATCATTCTCACCATACTATGCAGCTGGGGTCCCTAAAGCTGTAACTAAACAAGTGCGTAACCAGGGGCGGACTAACCTTTTGGGAACTCGGGCACTGCTCGAGCTCCCGGGGTCAGTAGGGGACCCCATGACATGCCCCTGGTACCTTTTTTCATAGGCTTTTGTGAGTTTGGGCAAGGACAGAGGGGCCCCATGATCCCCTATTGCCCGGGGGCCCCATGAGTTGTCAGTCCGCCCCTGTGCGAAACCAAGCTCACATTCATTCTGTTTTTCATACTTTCCATTCAAAGTATACCTAAAGCAAAACTATTTTTGCAGTAGGACATAGTTACGCCCCTATCAATGTTTTATGGTTGTCCTTGCTAGGGAAATTCACCCCTCTGTTTCTCCTGGTGAACACCACCATAGGAGCAAAGAACTTGGAAAAATCCCAAATTGGTAGTTGTAACCAGAAAAATGATAGGGGGGACATCTGTTCTGGTTGAAAACATCTAAGTGACAATTTCCTTTACTTTATAGAGATTTCTTCTTTCTTTCTGTTCTGACGTGAAGGAAAATCTTCCAAATGGGACACAGAAGGCAACAAAAATGGACAGGGGTTTGACCCATCTCTACTCTATCCAAAATGATGAAATCAGAATCAAAATGAACAAAATAACACAATGAAAACTTCACTCTTAAAGTTAAATCGAGCTTTTAGTTTAAATCAGCTACAGTGGGTATAGAAAAGAATCGCCCCCTTTAAAATAATCACATTTTGTGCTTTTCATCAAAGATACAGTCAGGTCCATAAATATTGGGACATCGACACAATTCTAACATTTATGGCTCTATACACCACCACAATGGATTTGAAATGAAACGAACAAGATGTGCTTTAACTGCAGACTGTCAGCTTTAATTTGAGGGTATTTACATCCAAATCAGGTGAACGGTGTAGGAATTACAACAGTTTGCATATGTGCCTCCACTTGTTAAGGGACCAAAAGTAATCGGACAATTGGCTTCTCAGCTGTTCCATGGCCAGGTGTGTGTTATTCCCTCATTATCCCAATTACAATGAGCAGATAAAAGGTCCAGAGTTCATTTCAAGTGTGCTATTTGCATTTGGAATCTGTTGCTGTCAACTCTCAAGATGAGATCCAAAGAGCTGTCACTATCAGTGAAGCAAGCCATCATTAGGCTGAAAAAACAAAACAAACCCATCAGAGAGATAGCAAAAACATTAGGCGTGGCCAAAACAACTGTTTGGAACATTCTTAAAAAGAAGGAATGCACCGGTGAGCTCAGCAACACCAAAAGACCCGGAAGACCACGGAAAACAACTGTGGTGGATGACTGAAGAATTCTTTCCCTGGTGAAGAAAACACCCTTCACAACAGTTGGCCAGATCAAGAACACTCTCCAGGAGGTAGGTGTATGTGTGTCAAAGTCAACAATCAAGAGAAGACTTCACCAGAGTGAATACAGAGGGTTCACCACAAGATGTAAACCATTGGTGAGCCTCAAAAACAGGAAGGCCAGATTAAAGTTTGCCAAACGGCATCTAAAAAAGCCTTCACAGATCTGGAACAACATCCTATGGACAGATGAGACCAAGATCAACTTGTACCAGAGTGATGGGAAGAGAAGAGTATGGAGAAGGAAAGGAACTGCTCATGATCCTAAGCATACCACCTCATCAGTGAAGCATGGTGGTGGTAGTGTCATGGCGTGGGCATGTATGGCTGCCAATGCAACTGGTTCTCTTGTATTTATTGATGATGTAACTGCTGACAAAAGCAGCAGGATGAATTCTGAAGTGTTTCGGGCAATATTATCTGCTCATATTCAGCCAAATGCTTCAGAACTCATTGGACGCCACTTCACAGTGCAGATGGACAATTATTATTATTATTATAATACAGTATTTATAAAGCGCCAATAGTTCGCTCAGCGCTGTACATTACAAAGGGGGACAGAACATGTGACAGAACAATACCAATACAATGCAAAACATGAGGGGATTGAGGGCCCTGCTCTTTGGAGCTTACAATCTAGGAGGGAGGGGATGGTGGCACAGGAGGAGATAGCTGTGGGGGATGGAGTGGTAGGAAGAGTGGAGGAGGTCGGCAAGTTACCAGGGGGTGGGGTAGGCTTCCCTGAAGAGATTGGTTTTCAGGGTGCGCCTAAAGGAGAGGAGAGTAGGTGATAATCTGATGGGTTGGGGCAGGGAGTTCCAGAGGATGGGTGACACCCTGGAGAAGTCCCGCAGGCGGGCATGGGAGGAGGAGACCAGGGAACTAGAGAGAAGGAGGTCTTGTGAGGAGCGGAGTGTGCGTGCTGGGCGGTACTTGGATATTAGGTCAGTGATGTAGTTCGGGGCAGTATGGTGGACAGCTTTGTACGTCAGCGTTAGGATTTTGAATTTGATCCGTTGCGCAATCGGAAGCCAGTGGAGGGATTGGCAGAGGGGGGTGGCAGAGACAGAGCGGTAGGAAAGGTGAATGAGTCTGGCAGCCGTATTCAGGATCGACTGAAGAGGGGATAGCCAGCGGTGAGGCAGGCCAGTGAGGGGGGAGTTGCAGTAGTCGAGTCGTGATATGATGAGGGAGTGGATGAGCTGTTTAGTGGTTTCTGGAGTTAGGAACGTGCGGATTTTGGCGACGTTGCGGAGGTGTAGTCTGCACGAGTTTGTTAAAGATTGGACTTGGGGCTGGAAGGATAGGTTGGAGTCCAGAATGACACCCAGTACTCTGGCCTGCAGGGCGGGTTTGATGGTAGCGTTATTCGATGTGATAGAGAAGTCAATGGGGGGTGGTGTCCGGGCTGGGGGGAAGACAAGAAACTCGGTTTTGGAGAGGTTCAGTTTAAGGAAGTGGAGCGACATCCAGTCTGTCGCTCAGCAGGTGTGTGATTCGGGCGGAGACCGAGGGGGTGAGTTGGGGGACAATGACCCAAAGCAGACTGCAAAATCAACCAAAGAGTTTTTTAAGGGAAAGAAGTGGAATGTTATGCAATGGCCAAGTTAATCACCTGACCTGAATCCGATTGAGCATGCATTTCACTTGCTGAAGACAAAACTGAAGGGAAAATGCCCCAAGAACAAGCAGGAACTGAAGACAGTTGCAGTAGCGGCCTGGCAGAGCATCACCAGGGATGAAACCCAGCGTCTGGTGATGTCTATGCGTTCCACACTTCAGGCTGTAATTCACTGCAAAGGATTGGCAACCAAGTAATAAAAAGTGAAAGTTTGATTTATGATTATTATTCTGTCCCATTACTTTTGGTCCCTTAACAAGTGGGAGGCACATATGCAAACTGTTGTAATTCCTACACCGTTCACCTGATTTGGATGTACATACCCTCAAATTAAAGCTGACAGTCTGCAGTTAAAGCACATCTTGTTTGTTTCATTTCAAATCAATTGTGGTGGTGTATAGAGCCAAAAATGGTAGAATTGTGTCGATGTCCCAATGTTTATGGTCCTGACTGTATAACACCAACAAGTCAGAAAACATTTTTTGAAAATTCGAAAGCAGAATCACCGAGTTGGAAAAAGGATCACCCCCCTAATTCTAAAGTCAATCAGGTGTAGCTAATCACCTTCTCAATGGCACACAAAAGCATCTGACTTTCAGCTGTGATCAGCTGTGGTCATTTTGATTAGCTCAGCATGAAAAGAGCTTTCCTTCAACATTTCAGTCCCTGATAGTCCAACTGAAGCAAACAATCAACTATGGGTGGCAAGGCACTGTCAAAAGATCTCTGGGATAAAGTTGTGGACAGGCATAAGTCAGGAGATGGATACAAAAAAAAAAAAAAAAGGCCACTCCTCAAGAAAGGCCACATGCAGTCACAACTGAACTTTGCCAAAACGCACCTTGAAGATTCTGAGGCCACATGGAAAAAGGTGTTATGGTCAGATCAGATTAAAATTTAATAATTTGGCCTCAACACTAAATGATATGTCTGGTGGAAATCCAATACAGTTCATCATCCATATAACACCATTCCTACAGTAAAGCATAGAGGTGGTAATGTCCTGTTATGGGGGGGGGGGGGGGGGGGGGGGGGGTTCTCTGCAGCAGGGATTGGAGTACTTGTTAAGATAGAAGGAAAAATGAATGGGGCAAAATACCATCAAATTCTTGAGCAAAATCTGCTGCCCTCTGCCAGAAAGTTGGCAATGGGAAGAATGTTTTCAACAAAATACTGACACGGCGGAGTGATCCTTTTTCCAACTCAATGATTCTGTTTTTGAGCTTGTTTTATTTTTTCTGACATGTTGGTGTTATATCAATGCGGTTTGATTCTTTTCTATACCCATTGTAAATACATTCCAGATGCATCAAAACAAAGCGTGTGCAAAGTCTTAGGCCTCATGGAAAAATGCTGCTTTTAGGGGTATTCAAATGTGTATTAACATGAGGTGGGCCAAGCTTTTCAATGTTAATTCATTTCAATAGCCAGAATAAATTATTCTTATTATTGCCAATGTAATGAATTAACACCCAAGTGCTTCACAGGCCTAAACAAGTTTACATTCATCAAATTTTTTTTCTGCCATAGTGTTGCTACCAGAAGGAAAAGCATTTAGGAGAGCTAGGCAAACACTCTGTGTGCATGAGCACTTAAAACAGAGTTCCAGCAGAAAAAAAAAAAAAAAAAAAGTCAGCAGCTACAAAAAAATGTAGCTGCTGACTTTTAAAATACAGATACTTACCTGTCCCAGGGTCCAGCGGTGTCCTCACCATGGCTGGTTTCACCAGCCGTCTTCTCTGCCTGGCATCTTCAGTGTAGGCACCTGGCTGGGATGGCTTGCGGCTTCACAGTCGGGTGCCCCGCTGCGCATGCGCGAGAAGCGCTGCGCTTTGTGAATGGTTCCGTAGTCTTCTGGGACCTGTCACGTGTCCCAGAATACTACGGGGAGAGGGGGGGGGGAGGGGTTGGACAACTTCCGCTTCCGATCGCCTAGGCCAGGGGTAGGCAACCTGCGGCTCTCTAGCTGTTGTGGAACTACATTTCCCATGATGCACTGCAACATAACAAAACTGACAGTTACAGCTATCACTTGCAGAGGCATGATGGAACTTGTAGTCCTGCAACAGCTGGAGAGCCACAGGTTGCCTACCCCTGGCCTAGGCAATTGCAGTAGAAGTGGGAGCAGGTACCTGTCGAATTCAGGTACCCGCTTTCCAAAGGTGCCAATCCTTAATGGGGAGCGGGGGACAAAGGTTT